CCTTCACCATCATCGAATCCAGACGTTCTAGGACTCCATAGTAGCAGGGAAGAAGGATGGGTCACGGAATATACATGGAAAACACATTTCAAATAACTTTTTTTTTCCTTAAGTGGTTGTCAATATATATTCCATTCTTGGTGACTCACAAGCAATGACCTGATGCAAGTAGGTAGGTGCCTGGAGTTTACATAAAGACTGCAGCACAGCATCAGACCTCAATGCTTCTACCCGGGAACAGGTTTACTAAAGTATGGATTGAACCACAAATAACTTCTTTTCAAGTGTCTGAAATAGGTATGCTTTGCCAGGAAGCTATTGGGTATCTAAACTAGCTAATTTGTAACAAATCTTAATACAAACTGAAACACACATGGATAGCCTCTGGGCTGATGCTGCTTAACCTTTCATTCTCTCAGCAAATGCTGTAAATTGATTCAGAGAGGTCCTTCAGGACCTTTGCAAATAAATGGATAGAACTCTGCACATAATTTAAGCTGTGCAGCCTAACCTTCCCCTGATTAATATGTGACTTAGGGAAGAATACTGGTAAGTGAATCATTTGGGCAAGAACTTGGGATGGGGTGTGAGTGATACCTTATCTCTAAGAAATATGGTATAGGGAGGTCCTGTCATAAGAACCTGTTTTGCCCCAACTCTAATTAGCTGATGTAACTGCTACTAAAAAGGATGTTTTCATAGATAAGTCAAGCGAGGGGGAAGAGCATTAAGTACGCCACAACCACATTAAGGTCCTATGGACTGGGAGATTTCCTTACTGATGGAAAAACACATAAGGCCTTTAAGGAATTTCACCACAAGGGGGTGGGAAAAAACTGTAGTTTTCAATGCGGGGCGGGGAAGGTGTAATAAGCAGAAGGGGCTACGAGGCGCACTCTAACAGAGCTAATCAACAGTCCCAAACTCTTTAGAGTAAGCAAGCAATCCAAAACAGGAGGGACCCGGTTGTCAATAGGCTGTAATTTACATTGTTCACAGCAAATCCTGGATCTTTTCCATTTAGCAGCATAAGTTAGTCCTACTCTGGACTAACACATGTTCCTCAGATGTCCAGAATGATCTCGCTGTCTGACATCCACTCAGGAGCCAAGCAGTGAGATAGAGGGAGGCTGGATTTGGATGCGAGTTGTTCATGTTGTCTTGAAAGATTAAGTTTGATAGAAGGGGAAAGGTTTTCAGTGGATGAACTGATAACAGCTCAGCTCCAGGTACCAAAGCTACCTTGGCCAGGTAGGAGCTATCATGATAACTGTGGCTGCATCCTATCCGCTATTCCTCAGCACCCTGGGAATCAGGGATTGGCTGGTAAGCATACATCATCCCTGGGGAATCAATGAATGAGGAGTGTGTTTAACAGAGATCCTGGAGCAGAAGCTGACATACTTCTTGCTCTTGTCTGTTGTGAGCAGGTCTATTGAAGGATGATCCCACTCCTAGAAAATGCAACAGACAATAGAATCCTTGATCATCTACTGGTGGTCTGATGAAAAATGTCTGCTCTAGCAGACCATTTGAGCATTCTGTAGACTCGGAAGATACTTGGTGCTACATGCACGAATTCCATAGCGAAACCACATTCTTTTGCCATAATGGGGATGAATGGGCCCCTTCCTGCCTGTTTATGTAAAACATAGCCATTGTGTTGTATTTCATAACTTGTTTAGTCAGTCCTTGAGTCAATGGTAGGAACGTGGACCAGGCTTTGCGAAGGGCTCGAGGCTCCAATATGTTTATATGTAGTAGAATCTCCTGATGATGGTCCAGGTATGCTCCCCAACCCTGAAAGGGACAGGGAGACGGAGTGGGCATAGTATGGAACTGTAGAGAATATCCAGCTATGAGTATCTCTGTTATCAGGTTCCATGACTCCTTGAAAAATTGAAGAAGATTCCCAATTGCATGTGTGTAGGGAGTGGCACAAGAAGAAAGGGTGTTGATCCAGTAGACTGAGCAGAGCGACCCTCAACCAACCCACTGAAATAATCATTTAGATATAGAAGGAGAATGGGATGAAGTCATAGCCAAGACAGAAGAGCTCCTTTTTTGAAAATGCTGCCTTGTTCTTGGAAGCTTTGAGGCTCTCTGGTGAAAGAAGGTACCAGATGATTGTCTCTGTTTGGCATAAGTATGAGGTCTTCCCTATTTTGTCCAGGGCGGAGTCTGCCCTGCCTGAATTGGAGGCTGGGTGCATTGAATGGTCCAACAACAACAAAAAAGTAAGTTGCATCTCCCAAATCTTTAAAGTCTTTTAGGCCACAATTAACTTAACTTGAGGGGACTGGACTACTGGGATCAGGTGATAGTAAGCTGAACATCTGGGCCTCATAAAAAGGCTTGAGAGAGAATAGTTGGAGGGGAAGCTGTGCCAGAGGCCACAGACAGCAAGAAACTCCTGGAGCGATAAGGAACCACAGGGAGCAAGTTAAGCGCCTATGGGAGGCCTTGAGCTACAAGTCTGCAAGAAGCAGGGAGGTCCTTGGAATGAGACACACTGGGGGGGAACCTACTATGAAAATGACTCCAGGAAAAGCAGACTAAAAAAATCAGTGCTGTATTAGAAGGATTTAAAGTAGGGCTGTCAATTAATTACAGTTAATGCCTGTGATTAACTGAAAACAAAATTAACATGTTAATATTTTTAACAGTATTAATCGCATATCTCTGGGAGGGATCCTACAGTGCCCGGTTAGGTGCAGTAACCCAATCTGCCTCTGGAGGACAGGAAGAGGAGAGGAGAGAAGAGGAAGTGGCTCCCATCCCAGCTCCGGTGGAGAGGAAGGGATCCTGACCCCACTGTGTCCCACTGCCCCCAGCCAGCCCCTTGCTCCGGGGACTACTCCCTCCATGTTCCATTGCCCCCCACCGGCCCCTCACTTTGTACCCCATAGAGAACAAAGGCCTGGTGAACTCAGCCTCCCTGCACCAGTCTCTACAGCACTTGTATGAGGTGAATTGAAATACTATTGCTTTTGTTTGTCTTTTTTTGCAGCGCAAATTTGTAATTAAAAATAATATAAAGTGAGCATTGTACAGTTTGTGTTGTAATTGAAATCAATATTTGAAAATGTACAAAACATCCTAAAATATTAAATAGAATACCATTTATTTAAACAGTGTGACTAAAACTCTGATGAATTGCAATTAATTTGTTTAATAGCTTGACAGCCCTAAATTAAAGATGGCCCAGAAGGAGCCGAGAACAGAATCAAGAAAGTGGGCTGAAGAGTAACCAAAAGGGGCAGAAGAATTGTTTGTCTGATCTTTTGGTTGGACCTTTGCTATCCAAGAGAGAGACTGAACTTTAAGTGTGACCAGGCCATAATGCCAGGTTGCTTGAAGAAGACAACCCTGCAGAACAGATCAGCCAACAAAAGGAAGTGCGGGGGACTGGAAGAACCCCTGCGATGTGTACTGACATGAGGAGGAGCTCCGACAGCAACTGTCACCCAACGTCAGACATGCACAGTGAGTGTTTGTCAGAGATATGAGCCTTTCCAAGACAAAAAGGAATCTGGGATGCCCATTGTTAACTGGAATTGCTGCCTGGCAAAAGGGACAATACTTAAAGCCATGTAATATAATCCTCAGTACTGACAAGAACATCCTGATCAGAGTTTCTGGGGGAGGGAAGGAATCAAAATAAGGAAGGTAAAAATTTCTAAACTAATCAAATAACTATCCTAGCACTAATATAAATATATATATACACACACACACACACACTTATCTATAAAGACTATGAAAAAGGTTGCATTGAGACCTGGACACTGAGGAGCTCCATTTTGCAGTTATGGATGGTCAGAAGAAACTGAGCGGCAGGGGGACCCACTCTGCCCTTCATGTCCTTGGTACAAGGACACTCAATGTGCATGTGCAGCCCCAAAGGACAATGCTGGCCAAAAAAGACTCCAGTCCAAGCACACGCTCAGCAAGCAGAATATATATATATATATAGAGAGAGAGAGACAAGAACTCAAATAGCCTATGTTTTGTTTTGTTGTAGGCAGTGTATTTATTGCACTTCACATGTTAAGTCAAGACAGTTAAGAATTTCCTACTCAGTCTCACGTTACCTATCAGAAATTCCAATCTAGAAATACTACAGAAGTAGACAGAAATCAGAGTTTGAGAGGTTATTTAGAAATGGGTAGTTTAAAAAAAAGCCTAATTACTAATGAAATAGCAAATTCTAGCCTGCAAACCCTCCATCATGTCCTTTCTAAATGGATACCATGAGGAAAAATTCAAATATTTTTTTTTAAAAACACAGAACTGGAGTGTGGTTTTCCAATACTTCAAAATTATACAACTGTTCCTACTCTTTAAAAATACTGTAATATTTAATGAACTGTGCACTCAAGTCTTATTTCCACCCTGCTGAACACAAGTCTATTTAGAAAAATGGTATAGCTATGTTCAATTTAGGAAGGAAACTGATTGGAGTATTTGTAGTCCAGGGTTGGGGAGGAAATGAATAGATTCCAATGCATCATTTATCTTGCTCTGCTTGTCTGCTAGAAGGAAGTAATTTCTAGTCTCTCTCTCTCTCTGAAATCCATTGATCCTTATGAGGTAACAGGTTAGTCACAAAGCTTTTAACAAAATAAATGGCTTGCTTACATAAGTCCTGTAATATGAAAACATGAAATTCAGAGGAATTTTACCAGAATCTAAAGCCAACAGATTTTTACTACTGAAGTAGAACACAACAAGCACTCTTGTGCTACAGCAATATAGCTCAAGAACTGTTCAAGCCACAAGCAACATTTAAGTTGCTTTTAGAGAGGGAGAAATGAGATTCCTTTTTGAAGATCTTCTCCCTCTCCCCTGCCACTTTACCTGTTCTTTTCCTCAAGTTCTTTATTTGCTTTCCTCTTGAATTTGGGTAACAGCTGCTGAAGAAGGTCCTTCACTGCATCTCTCTCCTTCACTGCTGTGCTTTCATTAGAGAAGTGGAAGTTGGTTGTGTCCCCTGCATGCAATACCAGCTGTAGCTGAATTTTAGCCTTTCCTTCAGGACTGATTTTCTGGCCTAGAATATATAAAGAACAGCAATTAGTGATAGAAGTACATTTATGTAACAAACTTTCTCCCCAGAACATTCATTTATATGCTGTTGTCTCCATCATCCTATTAAATCCTGATATCCCACATTGGTGGCATTATAGCACATTTCTTCCAGTCCTGGAAGCGAAGCATGCCGCTGCCTCTACAAGTTAGCTTTAAAAGCTGCATCTCACTTTTCCCACTGCAACCAAAGACATCCTGAGAGGCCCAGATCCTGAGCTGCAGCAGAGTACTCCTTGGCCACCTTTGCTAGTTTTCTAGCAAAACTCGGAGCAGCCCTCAGGTCCCTCCAAGTTGCAGGGCCTAGCAATGGCCCCAAAGCGCTGCTTAGAGCGGATGGAGATCACTAAGTCATAAGGATGCCTGAGCCCTTCCTTCTTTCCCATAGCCACAGAGAAAAAGTAGATATAGGACCAACTATGGGAAATCTACACTGCCCATAGTGCATATCTACCTGCTTCTATATGGAGGCATTGTCCTATTTGCACTGTTTCCCTAAAGCCAGCATAAGCTGCCCTACCACACCTCAAGATCTGAGCTCACAAACAACAAAAGGGAGCATCTTTCAGCTTCCTATGATTCTCTCTATGCCTACAGATGTAAAGGCTGGAATTTGAGAGAATGTTACTCCATTTACTCAATGTCTTTGCAAGAACTTATATCTTCCACTCCAGTCTTCTAAACTACAATATGTAAATGCTATGATAGGCTCAATAGGTGGAGAGGATAATAGCTTCACACTACTTCTAGATATAAAATAGGTGAACAGACTTTCTAAATGGATATTAAGCAGATATCTGTTAGCGAGCACTGCATTTTAGAGTTTTGACTCAGCATGATTAACAGCCACACATACCTTTTAAAAACGTTGTAACAATCCTATATGAATTTAGATAGCATATGTTCTAAGGCTACAGACAGAAAAAGAGGTATGCAATTTGCAAGGATTTGTGTTTTTGGTATTGAGTAAGGACAGACAGCACTAATCTGATGCAGGCACAGCACAAGCAAGCACTATGGAAACTCAGTTTTGACTTACAGCACACTACTATTTCAGTTGTGGGTGTTTATTGAACAAGATTACTAGTCAAGCCAACTGTCAAGTAATTTTGGAGGACATGGATGATATGAATGAACATATTTTCAGCTGTGACCCCACTATATATCATATTCTAATCTAGATTTCCAAAGATGAGAGGCTAGTATAATAAACTATCACACCACATAACTCGACCAAACTTTAATCAATTTACATCTCACTGTGAGCCGGGTTTTTATAGAATAGACTGTCGCAGAGCTAGATGCACATCCTAATTAGCCAAAAATAGGTTAGGTCAGGGGTCGGCAACCTTTCAGAAGTGGTGTGCCAAGTCTTCATTTATTCACTCTAATTTAAGGTTTCGCATGCCAGTAATACATTTTAATGTTTTTAGAAGGTCTCTTTCTATAAGTCTATAATATATAACTAAATTATTGTTGTATATAAAGTAAACAAGGTTTTTAAAATGTTTAAGAAGCTTCATTTAAAATTAAATTAAAATGCAGAGCCCCCCGCACCTGTGGCCAGGACCTGGGCAGTGAGAGTGCCACTGAAAATCAGCTCGTGTGCCGCCTTCGGCTCGCGTGCCATAGGTTGCCTACCCCTGGGTTAGGTAGTTTCCTCTTAGACCCCATAAATCCTGTATCCCCCAAAACAAGACATATGGCCTAAGTGATTTTCCATTAGACTACAATACATATTTCTGCTTCCAAGCTATTGCAGAGATTGTTAGCAAAGTGGGAAAATGAAAGAAATATTTAAGAAATTTGGGATCTATATTAAAAACACCTGAAAAACTTTTGAATTGCAGAATCTTCTATGCCTGCAATTTACTCCTGGATCCACTCATGTTTGCCAGAAAGAATAATCTAATGAAATGACCAAATTGGCCAAATACATGTAAAATAAGGTTTGAGTCTTATTTAAATATTTACTGAGAATTTGCATACAAGCGCAATAGAAAGAGCTTTCACTTACATTTTATATCTGCATACATATGGCTGACTGTGAATCGGTCTTTGCCTTCAGGTGCCCATGCTATCCTTTCAGCCATAAGGTAGAGAGCTCCATCCTGTTTCTTTTGACGCACCTTCTTTACGATCAGTAACACTTCCTCAGATGACGTTGCCATGATGGCTATAAGGTGCTATTAAAAGCACATGGTACAGTTAGTTACTTAATTCAATAGCAATTAGTACAGTATTTCCATTAACAGATTTTTTCCAGTATTCCAACTTGTTTCAAGGCTTCAAAACTTGCATTTGCACTTCAATATTTACGTTCTGTAAACTAACAGCAGCATACAGTCATTGTCCAAGCCTTATCAGACAAACACTCTGAGCTCCACTTTATACGTGCGGTCAAACTTTTTCGGATTAAATAAAATAGTCACATACAACTATAATAACCCACAGCCATATTATACTTAGATTTCTTTTCCAATCCTCCTTGTGCTCCAGCTACACCTACATTTCATCTAATTCCTCTATTTTCTATTTCTCTTTTATGTTTCTTTACTGGTTTGTCAAGTTGTGAAGAGCGCTTATACCTCAGAGAGCGTGTACACTCCAAATCCCCGGTAGCATTTCATAGTACTTTCCTTTTGTGATGGGAACTCTATATGTTAAAACTACTTGGAAGGGAAGAGGGACGAAAGTATCGTAGACTTACCGGTTCTTGCAACTGTACCTCCCGAGTAAAACGATGAACTAGTTACTTTCCCCTTCCTTCAGCATGATCCACTGATTACCATGCAAGACTCGAATGAGACTTCAGACACAATCATAATTTTAACTGGCCTATTTATTTTGTTCCAAAAATACTCAAGCTCTAATCTTGCAACCACAGAAAGATTGAGAGTTTTGTCATTGACATCAATAAGCCCTTCTGTAATTGGGAAGAAGGATAACGAAAGTGCCAATGTCTTTTTTCCTTTATAGTTTTCCCAATCTTAAATTTCTCAAGAGAACAGATAAATAGTAACATACATATTTTACTATATTCCATCACTACAAACTTCACTCCTATCAGAATGACATGAAGTTTCCTTCCATACTATATCCTTTAAATATTTTATTCCCATCCTACTCCTGCAGTTTTTTTTTGCCATGTACCTTACTGCCCCCGCCTCACTTTGCTACCAGTGTATTAAGTAGTTTTAGAGACCCTTCCAATACTTTGAATATTAACATTTACATTTTCTTATATTTTAATTGCCAAGATCTACATCAATACTTTAAAAGAACATCTGTATAATATTTTAACACCTATTAAGAATAGGTATCAGAAATCAATATATATATCCATTTATACTTACTTATGGATATGTTTTTTACCTGGATTTTAAATACTGTACAACTTTGAAAATAAAAATCTGATTGTTTTAAACTTTAACATCTATATGGATAATTACTAAGGACCAGCACTCTGCTCAGTGAAAATGTTACAAGCTGAGCAATCAGACAAGTGTGTTAAGTACAATATTTGAGAGAAGATGTTTAGTAGTAAGATGTATTTGCACTTAGGTTTTGATCCAGAACCAGATCAACAGGTTTGCTATTGACTTTAATGCTGCAGTATTGGGCACGTATATGATTTCTGCCTGTTTGTGACAAAACTGTGGTAATCACTAGAATACTTAGAAAAACCAGTAACAGCTGATATTTTACCAACAAAGACTTAATGTTTCTGGCACAGTACTTTGCAGTATGCAGCTTCTGAATGCATAATATCCCACAAGTGGCTTGTTCCATTGTCTGGGAAACTGAATGCACTACCTCCGTGCTTTTCTGTTCTTTTTTTGGTCATTGCTACTTCTTTTGCTTTTATGCCTCTGTTATAATTGTACTTTAAAGATGGCAGCTCTGACATAAATGTCTACAAACTACTCGCAAGTAGCAAACATTATCCAAGATGGGGGGGAGGGGAACCCTGAAGTCCTCTTTAAACAGTGCATTAACAATCAAAATATTTCACTAATCAGGGTTTAAAAAAATACTACACACCTACTATCGAACAAGACAAAATGGCTCCACCAGTTAGGTTCTGAGGCAATACAAATACTAAAATAGAAATCCAACAGCTTCTCCTCTAATTGCTGGTGGGAGGGCTCTCTTTTGTATTGTCTCTAGATAATATGTGTCTATTGAACTGAATGAAGAAGACACTGTCTTCTCTATCATCTAAAGCTTTCTAGCTGCTGTGAGGGAGGAAAAGTCCCCCAATATTTTATCCATCCCCCCAGACTCCATTTTTGGGGTGCACTTTCTATTGAATGTCTGCAGCAGCACTGTGAAAGTGACATGATTCATGACAGTGTCACTACTGCTCCCAGGGGTCTGAACTACAGTTGTCAAGCTGACAAGTTGTGTTAATTTTAATCTGCCGCTTCTTAGAAAAACTATAAATTAGCAGCAAAGGCATTGGAGTTGTCTAGTTGAAACTCAGGAAGATGGCTCTGTGTCAGTTTACACTTGTTTCAAATTTGAAAGATTACCTTTGCAACCACGAAGACTAGAAACCCGGTTTTATTTAAAAGCTTAAATTCTGCAGAAATTGATGGCTTAGGGACCCCCAATCAAGAATGGTAAGAGGATTGTACATGCCATGTACTAAGCATTATGAAATTACAACTTGTTAGATACAGCTTTTAGCTATCTCTGACCGTAATTTATCTATGAAACATGAGGTTATGTTGTTGAACATTTGTGTTCTGCACCAGGATCTTTGAAATAACAAAATACAGAGGAGTCACATCTTACACGGGGGTTAGGTTCTGAAATCAGTGTGTAAGGCAAAAATTGCGTATAGTCAAATGCTAATTGAGTGGAATGGCGGGCGGAATCGCCCGCACTACAGGTACAGTATTTAAATTGTTATTTTTTTCTTTTTTGTTTTGTTTTGCCGAGCGCGTATAGTTAAAATTGCGTAAGTTAAATGCACCTATGATACGACTCCACTGTAGGTAATATTTCCAAAGAGCATGTAGATAAATCAGTGGTTCCAACTTGTGGGTAGGACTCCATGGAGGAGGCACAAAACTTCTCCTGGGACTGAAACTTTCAGCTGTATATGACTGCTGACACTCATCCTGCAGCATAAGTGGTGATTAAAAAAACAAAAACAAAAGAAGACAGAACTACAAGGGTTGTTTATTTCCCAACCCATTTGTGAATATTCCCCTTGAAACTGGGGAAGGAGGGATAAATGCAGGATGTGAAGAGCCCAGCAAAGATTGGACAGCGATAGTGGGGAAAAGGACCTTCAACATACCCACTTCCATTTCCCTAGTTCGTGGATGAAGTCAGGCAGCAGAGACTAGCTGGCAGCTACTTTTAAGCCACCTGTCTGGCTTCTTTGTTTCTCTTTAATTAGCTCTCCCCTACCATTCCTGTTCTCTGCTCCTTCTAGAATAGCCAAGTAACATAGTGGCACCAAGGGATCTTATCCACTCCACTCACACATGGATTAATTTGGGAAGTGAGGTATGGACAGAGAAGAGATGCCACTAATAGTCCTGATTTGGCTGAGACAAAAATGGGTTTTGAAATGGTCCTAGGCTTCTGTGACAGGCAGACAAGAAAGGGTAGTCATCTGTCATTTTACTGTAAGGAAGGGTAGAGAGCTACAACTTTTCTGATTAGACAAGCAAGACAACAAGCTGAAGAACTCTGGAACTTATGTTTTGGGCCTGTCTATACAACAAGTCTGGACCCCTGGCATGGTTAGAAGCATCTGTAGTCTAATGTAGTATTTTAGTTGCAGTAAGACTAGAAGAAACAACACCTTACTTGCTTAATTGAGAGAGAAAACTAAGATGTGAATGCATGGCAGATGCCACCTCTTCTTAAATCTGTGGCATTTTCTTTTAGGTTTTGGAAAAAGGAGAGTGGTGCTATTATTTCTTTGCCTTTAACTTACTTTGTATATAGGCCTATGGGCTGTAATCTCCAGCTAAATTTCCCACTATCAAACCTCTGAATCTTGAAGTTTCATTTTAGCTACAGTTTCAATGTCACAAGTGAAAGGAATACTGTGGTTTCCTGCCCTCTTTGGTACTTCTCACTATCTTGGATTTTATGGCAAGATAGCAATGCTGAAGGATGGACAATTACTGGTGACATTTCCATCTCTCCCCTTCCTTAACCTTTTGTTCCAGAACTTCATCTTATCCCTCCCTTTCCAAAGTTTCAGTGTCTCACGTATACACCAAACAGAAAAAGATCACCCAATCTGTTGATGTCATTTGTGCTCCTGCACAGTGGTGCTTTTATCAGCACTGGCAGCATAGTGTATTGAGTGGCAAACAGGCTCAACTGTGCTAGTAGCAGCACAGCACACTGAGACATGAGCAGACTCCTGTCAGTCAAAACACATGGCAACAAGGTCTAAAATGGGATGCTGATTCTTTAAAAAAAATGGGGGGGGGGGAGGGAAGTGAGGTAAGCCTCACAAAGATTTACAGAACTGTAACTTAAACCTGATCCTACAAGCTACTCCACACAAGCAGATTTTCACACCCACATGGGGTTCTGCAGAGATTCAGAAGTCCACCTGCATAAAGCAGCGTGCATGATCAAGGTATATATTTTAGTAAATCACATGATTATCTGAGCTGGGTTCCAACCAGACTATCAAGCATCAAATCCTGATCATTACACAATGGCATTTTTTATCTTTAACAAACACACGAGCAGGACTTTAGGTTTACCTCATTTGGAAGGGCACCGTCAGCAGGTCAACATTCCCTCACGTTATGCACTGCTAGAGAAAGGAACATGTTCCTGCCACCACCACCGCACCTACAGGCCCCTGGGTCCTCTCCCGCCCAGCTTGTCCTGTCATTCCCCCAACCCGGCTGCACTCCCTCCCCCACGCCCAAGCACACCGTGTATTAATAAATCACCCTCTTCCCCTGTCCGCATCTCGCTGGGCGGTAGCGGCCAGCGCAGAACAAGCCGAGCTGCCCTCGCCCGGCGATAGGTGAGGAGCCCGGAGTAGCGGGGGCCGTTGTGCTCTCGGGCTGTCAACGCCGGCTCGCAGGGCTGGGTGCCTCGCTCCCCGCCAGGAGCCAGCACAGGGACCCCGGCCCGGCACACCCCCTCCCCCAAAGACACGGGGCCCCGCCCGGGGAGCAGCCGCCGCCCCCCGCTGTCCCAGCTCCCCCCTCCCCCGGAGACTCCGCGGAGCCCCTGGACACCGTCCAGACTCCTACCGTGCGGGCGGCTGCTCAGGCCCCAGGCCGCCGCTGGCTGCTGCCGCCGGGTGCGGGCGCGGCGGGATGAGGGGGCGGGTGGCGCTGGGTACTAAGTCCAGCCGCTGCCGGTGCCGCTACTAGGGGGGTCTCGCCGCCTCCTGGTCCATGGGGCGGCCAGGGAGCTGGGCAGTAAGGGCACGTGACCGGAACTAGCTAAAGTCCCGCGACGCATCGAGGGAGACCGGGTCACGTGACGGGGGAGACTGCTGTCGCCATGACACCTCCCGGTCACATGACAGGTTTTCCCCGCCACCATAACACTCCAAGATCACGTGATGGCTTCTCCCTCTCCCCCCCTCCCGTCGCCATGACAGTGCGCGGAAGGGGGTGATGACGGGGTACCAACAACGCGGCCGCCACCGTCCGGTCCCTCCCATCGCGATCACCCAGCCCCGAACACCGAGAAGTCCGGCTCCTTCCCTTTCGTTCCGCCTGTTAGGTCCCGTCTCTTCCGCTCCGGGGTACCGCAGCGCTGAGGGGGGGCGGGGACTTCCCTAGGCAACCGCCCGAGGGGGGAGGGGTGAAAAGAGCGTAGCCGTCACGTGATCTGGGGTTAGCTGTGTGCGTGTGACGCACTTTTTTGCGGGCGGGCGCGCGCGCGCGAACTAACGTGTTTCAGGTGGCCGGGGAAGGATCACGTGCCGTGGGGGCGGGGCCGGAGAAGCAGCTGGCGAGTTTGGCGTTCGGTGGGTGAGTGTCCGCGCGGGGAGCTGGGCAGGGGGCCAGGAGGCGGGTGTGGGGAGCCGCAGCAGCGCTGGGGACCAAGCAAGGTGTAGTGGGCGGGTCCCATCCGTTTCCTGCCGTCCCCTCTCCTGTCCTGGTGCCGAGGTGTGACTGTCGCCCAGCTCCCCTGCCTGGGCAGTGCTGGCTCTCGCAGGGGCTGCCGTGTCCCCGGCAGCCTCCCCTGGGTGCCACAGCTGACACTGATACGCCAGCAAACCCCAGCGGGCGAGAGCCACCCTCTGCAGACTGGGAGCCTGAACTTGGAAATAGCTTCTCGGTTTCCCGTCCTGGCGGCTCCGCGTTGTTGTTGCTAGTATGAGTGGCAGCAGGGAGAGTCTCCCCAAGCAGCTCCTGGCCCTGTTGCCCAAAGTGCTTTCAATCTGAGCTTAAAAATGAACGTAGAAATGGGTGAAACATACGCGCGAGCAAGAAGGTGACCCCGATGGACCTGAGTCTGCAGGCAGACAGCGCTAGTGGCATTGCTGCTCCCTTGGGAAAGCCATGGGCTGACTTGTATTTAGGTTCCTGTGGCAGCAATGAAGGAACATGTATGTCAGTTTCAACTACAGCTTGAGAAAACTGTGGGTGGTAGACATGAGTACTGGAGGTTCCTCAGAGAAAAGAGGATCTACAAAAATAGTTGGGGAGTTCTGAGCTCCCATTCCTCAGAAGAACCTGAAGGAGGGGATGAATGGCAAAGCCCCTTCCAACAGTTGCCAAAAGCTTATGGCAGATGGGAGAACAATTATCCTTTTCCAGGTGTGGGTGGTGTGATTTGTTCAATCTGCTACTGTATGTAGTAGAGTGGAATTAGAGTATTTTGTTTATTAGGCCAAATCTCCCCTAAAACGTGTGAACAGCAATAGATATCTTAGTCTGTAAACACTAGAGATGCTCCCCTCCATATCCTGGAACAGACCCAAGAATTCCAGAAGTCCCAGTGTTTCTTTGCTGTCAGCAAATATCTTTGAAACTCGCTGTCAAAGTACATGTCTTATCCTTCTAGTGGCTGGTCCTCAGTAAATAACAGTTTGCTGCTACTGCCAATTAAGTGGTAGAAGTCTGTGCTGTGGATCTAAAAATGCCCACCCTCCCAATGACGCTAATGTAGGGTGACCAGATGTCCTGTTTTTATAGGGACAGTCCCGATATTTGAGGCTTTTTCTTGTATAGAAGCCTATTACCCCCCACCACTGTCCCGATTTTTCACACTTGCTGTCTGGTCACCCTACGCTAATGACATGTAGCGTGTTCAGTATAAAAACTTAAGGTAAGTTATTTTTTAAAAAGCCTGTGAGGAAACTGCCATTTTTGTATTCAGTGCAAGGTTTGGATGGTGGTGTGCAGGAAATAATGCATGGGACCCCAAACTGATAGATGAAGATAAAAATATTGAATAGCTATCCCATTCAATGCATGAATTATGGGTCTTGTGGAAACTGTTGTATGTAGTTAGGGTGTATCATAGTGCACATGCACAAGGAGGCTGAGTTAAGATTGAACGGGCTACCTTAATTTTGGTATTTTTTTAACCTTTGAGTGCTTGATATTGTAAAATTCATATTTTAACAACATATTTTATATGTAATATCAATTTTAAGTGTGCCAAATCAGTGATTTACACTGGTTTAACCAGATTGAGCTTCAAAATTGATTTTTAGCTAAATCAATGCAATTTAGTCTATGGGCTGTGCCTAGATTGCACAGGAGACTGTAAACCCATCAGATATTTACCTTTAGGAATAATCAAATTATAGCTTATCCAACAGACTAACATTTCTTAAATTAATTTCAGTGTAAGTTCATAGACAAAACAAAGTAGGGCCCTACCCTTGCAGTCGGATCCATGTAGGAGGATCAAGTCTGCGGTCTGTTAGATCCCCCCCTCCCTTTTGTATCTTTATGAGCAGTCTTAAGTCTTTGTCTGCATTAAAAAGTGTTTCCCTGTATAGCTATTCCAGCAAATCCTCCTTGTGTAGGCAAAGTTTATACCAGCAAAAGATTTCTTTTGCCGGTATAGCTTATACCAGTTCTCTGAACAAAATAAGCTATACTGCTATACCCGTGTTTGCTGTCAGGCTATATTGGGTTAGGGGTGTTTCCCCTCTCCCCCCTTCTCCTAAGTGACATAGCTATGTGAGCATACTTTTACGTGTAGAGTAGGTCTTGAAGAACAAAGGTGGGGCTAGAAAGTAAATTGTAATGGATCAAGAAAGGGATTATATTCTTAAACTTAACTTCTGCAGGTACAGCTAGAAGCTGAAGTAAATAATGCACCAATGATTGAGTATTGCCAGGCTTTCTTAACTCAATGACATCTGTGCCAATGATACCAGACTCTTACAGCCATGTATTGGCAGAACTTGAGTGTTTGGATCCATTGCTTTCTGCACTCAGGTTGGATTCTAGTCGTCTGAAGGTAAGTTTGGTTCATGCTTGTTGCATTTACTATGTTGTTTCTTTTTTTTTTTTCAGACACAGAAGTCAATATTTTTGTCATGCTACAGCTTGGTGAATGACTGCATAAAATTACTTTGATTTGTATAGCTCTAGATTAGAAGCTATTATGCAATTTGTAGATTATGACTTGGTATTTGCTACTTAAACCTTGGGTCCAATTTTATTACTGTCAGCTGCATGGTCGAGAGCAGTGGCTTCTTGGAAGAACAGTTAAGAGCAGTGTAGAACAAACAAAGATGGATTTTCTCTTGTCTATAATGAAATGAATAGAAAAATCTTGCATGTTATCTTTAAAAATGTTGCTTGCCCATTCTTAAAGTCAAAATAATTTGCTATTTAATTCTGTTTTTGAAGCAAATTATGAATATAAGGTACTTTGAGAATAGATTAGTCAGTTGCAGGGAAAATGCAATATTTAACCCCAAAGCCTCTAAGAGCATGGTCACTTAAACCTTAAATCATAATACAAATGTTTTAATTCAAATTATTTTTTGGTCAGCCCATGAAATTGGATGATTGGCTAAACTTTTAAGTGGATGCTACCTTACTCCGATGGACAACTTCATAGGTCAAAGTATAGAACAGTTTGCTGTGCTTATTGAGTATGATGGCAGATCCATCAAAAGAAAATAACTTTTGCCCTTGTTTAAAAAATATAGTCTAACAAGGTTTAAAGTGCCCAAACAGCTTATGAAAAAACCTGAATGTGTCTTTTTCTGTGTCCTTAATCACTAAAGATATTTGCAGGAAAACAGTCTTCAAGAGTTTGTTTGCTTTTGTTGTCCACTCCCTTTTTAGAATGCACTGGTTGCACTTCTCTGACAACCTGGCCTTGCTGTTGCATATCTTGGGGGTGGGGGATGAACGATAGGCATAGAATGGGTTCTTTGTCAAAGCTTTGGTTTTTAACAAATAAAGGACAAATATGAGATGCCATTATCAGTGGAATTTACATTTATTTAAGTAGCTACAGTGTCCTGTGTCATAATTCTTTCAGTGCACATGTATAGCTGTGTCTCGGAAATGGCTGGCTCTGGGCAGTTCAGGAGGGGGATTAAACCTGATTCAAAAAGAAGGCTGGAAACAGAGGCTGTTCCTCACTCATAAGGTAAGGTTAGAATTGTGCAAAAACCTCAGGGAAGGGCAATATTTCAATTGCAGAAGTGGGGAAA